CTTTCAGCAACAAGAATAAATATTACCATGGCTACAGGATCTACTTCACAGCTTTGTGAGATGAGGATAAATAAACTATTTCCAAACTTGAAAAAAAAAAATTATCAGAGATGAGTCTTACAAATAAACTTTGATTTTCAAATTAAGGCAGCTTCAGCAGGAACTTCAAGGCTTTTGTTGAAAACAGACTTTTTCTAACACCAAAAGGGTACTCGTGCTTTGCAGGTAGAGCTCTGATTCACAGTCTAGTTCTCCTAATTTTGACAATTAAAATGAGCAAAGATCCGTGCATCGAATACCAGGTGTGCTCTCTGCAAAAGTCAGTGTTCCATCAGTAGGTGTCACGTGGGAACCCTGAAACCCAGTTCACCTCTCAGGCATGGGACTGAGGTACCTCTGGCTGAATCATTAACTCCATGGCCGGGAGGCAGACTGGGAATTCAGAATTACAAGAAGCTGTTGCAATTTTTTTTAATAAGCAAATGATGAAAAAGGGATATATAAGGGGAGGGCTAAGGAAGCCAAAGGAAAGCACTAAATGAAAAGCCCATAGCAAAGTAAAGACCTTAAGAAAGGTGACTCTAGTAAGGTCCATCATATACCTGGAACAAAACCAGACCCTAAAACTTTCCAGGAAAGAAACAGCAGGAGCTCGAGCGGGGGGTGGCTTGGCTCATCCAGATGTGCGATTCTTCTTCCCTCTCTCCTCTCAGCTAATAAAAGGGTGAAGCCAAATAATTGCACAACAAATGGTACTTCAAGTATTTAGAAACATGGCCTGCGTGTCTCAGAGGGGGGATCCTGCATGAGCTGGGGAAATTGTGCACCTCGTGAAACAAAGCTGCCACTTCCAGCAGCCGCGGCGCGCAGCGAAGGCACGAGTTCATGTCCTGCACTCAGCTCCCTCCTCCTCCTGCAGGGCTGCACGCTGACAGTAAAGAGCAGTGAAATGAAAAGGAGTAGACAGAAGGGTTATTTTGTTCAGACCTCATCAATTCCAACACGAATGCCACTATAATCACACACAGAAACGCACACACAGCACACGCTAACCAGCTGGTTCACGTTTTTACAACACTGCCCATGGATTCCCCTGTGCTTGTACACACCTCGTGAAATGCTAAACTGGACACACAGCTGAAGATGCATTTCTGACCCGTTGAAGGGGAAAAAAAAAAAAAATATCCTGCTGCCTTTACCTGCTCAGCTCCAGCTCCTGGAAATAAACCTGCCCCAAACCCCATCAGCAGCAGGGCTTTGGCTGGGGGGGTGGAAGGGCAGGATTCTCACAGCTCCTGAAGCCACTTCCCCTCCCATCCCTGGCCAAGCCCATGCCAAGCCTGATGGGGTGAGCTAAGCTACTCATGGGCTTTACCTAAAAGAGGGTGTAAAAATAGCATTCCCTTTGTCCAGGTCCTCTCAGAGGCTGGGATTAGTGAGGGGTGGCAGTGTCCAGGGCACACACCTGCCCTGCTGGAAGAATAAAGCTGAGAGGTCAATGACAGGGATGCCACCTACATTTTATATATATGCATATATAATATTTACATATATATAGCTTCCAAGAAGAACAGCAAAAGGTATTTTTGAATTAACTCATCCAGGAGCTGGAGGTTTCTGTTGGAGCCTATCTGAACTCTTTATCCTTTGCATTTTGTCTCTCTCCCCCTCTGGCTGAAGCAAAATTTGGGTGAGCTTGCGGCTTGCAAAGCACAGCTGTTCAGTGGCTTCTGAAGAATTGCACTTGGAGTAATTCAAGTTTCTGTAGTTCAAATATTGTCTACCCTGCTTTTCCCGACGCTTGTGCATGTACCAGCATAACTCAAAAAGAGCTGACCACAGTGTAACAGTGTGGAAGTTAAACTCTTCCTCTGGAAAATGTAACTGGAGGTCAGCAGCTCCTCTGCAGCTGGGAAACACAACACAGCCTATTTGAAGGTAAAATAAATAATAAAAAGAAGTGAAAGTCCTCAGAGTGTTCCCAAGTGCAGCACGGATTTGGGCAAGGCTGTGATGGACCAGTCAGTCCAATGTGGCCACTGGGGAGGTGCTTCCACCAGTCCTGCTCCTTCCACTGCCTCTGCTGACCCTGAGCAGGGAAGTGCTTCATCTCTTTGTGTCTCTGCATATGGAAAGCTGAGTAACTCTGACTGCCCTGCACGCAGGACTGGTTCTGCAGATCCACACAGCAGTTAATGTTTGCACGGGTCAGAGAAGGTGCCATGTGCCACAAGGGGCTTATTCTACAACCTAGAAATCCCACCTGCCTCCAGGAAGCAAATATTTCCTCCCAAGGGCATTTGCTGCTGCTTAATACTATTAGTTCTGCTGGGTAGGAAATCCCAGAGGACAAGAGTCAATTTGAAAAAAGACATCAGTACATCAACCTGCTCCTGAGCCCCAGACTGGAACACTCCAGCCCCTTGTCAAGGGGGCTACAGGTGCTGCCAGGACTTGGCAAGATGATCAGCTGGGAGTGAAGCTTTGAAAAGCCTTTAACATTTGAAATACATTTCACTCATTGCTGTTTCCTGGATGGAAATTAATGCCTGGCCCTACAGCTGCTCCTGCTCCCCTGCAAAGGGGTTTATCCCCATCACTCCAAACCTTTCAGGGCTCTTTGCTCATCTCAGCCTTGATCCAAAAGCTGCTGAAGGGCTGGGTGTTCCTCAGCTTTGACTCTGGGGTGGGGTTTGTTTTTGTTTTTGTTTTTTTTGCATGCAGGAGTTTGGATTCTCCATCCAAACTCACACCACAGCACTGGGGACACAAATCACCTGGCAGCCACCAGGCACAGCACCAAAGCCATCCTCACCCCAGAGCAGTTATTTAATAATCATAATGTAATAAAAGGCTCATTACAAAACCTAGGAGCACTACAAATATTTCCAGTATTTCTTACAGTCCAACCACTGCTGTGTTGGATTTAGTGTTCAAGAGAAAAACTGATTTTTTTTCTTTTTTTTTTTCTTTTTTTTTTTTTGGAAGCTTTCTACTTTGTGCGGCTTCTGGAAAAATTGCAACTGTAAAGTACATTAGTGAGGATCCAAGCACAACCTGTAACAAAAGTAAGGCAATTTTGTGGTTCTTTTTTAAAAAAAAGGGACTTCAAACTGAAAAAGTCCATTTAACTGCCAGTAGATGGCAAAAATATCCCGTGTTTGTCTTGATAACCTTAAATGATTAGTAAAAAAGGCTTAATTTGTTGTTCTTTTCCTTGCTTCTCATACAAACTTGCAGTAAGTATAAATTAAAGTGCAACTGTACAAAAAAGAAAACCCTAGGAAAAAACCTCAAGGGGTCATAAGAAGCTATCAAAAAGACAGATTACATTTTTTTTCAAGTCGAATGACTGCATACCTGGGACCAGCAAAAGTTCTTTGCTTTGTTTCTTAAAACAGAACACAAAAGAAAAAAACCAAAACAACAGAACAAGACCAACCCCCCCCCACCCAACATATTTTTGGCAAAGCTTTCATAAAGCATTTGTTCCTTGATTAGGCTATTACTTCATAATCAAGTAAATGGAATTAAATACCATGTCAAAGCCAAGCAGATGCCAACGCTGCCCATTAGATTAATCCCGTGTAATAAAAAATAACAACTCTTTTAAACAAAGAAGTCACACATGCATTAGGGTTTACCCTTGGGTAACAAGAATTTAACCTTAAAAATCCCCGCAGTTCATCTCAAAAAATAAAATCCCATCCTTCAGATAGCCAGTAGCAAAGGAACAGTAAAATTCCGGGTTGGGAAATCCCTGCCTGGTCAGTGGAGCAGCGAAGGTCACAGTCCAGTGGGCAGCAGCAGCAGCAGGACAGGAGAGCCCTTGGGCAGGGGCAGTGAGTGTCCAGCAGCAGGGAAGGCAGATCTGGCAGTGATTTTGGGGAGGTGACAACAGGCAGAGTGTCCTAGGGGAAAGGTGAGAGGTGAGTGCTCCGGAGCTGTGCGCTGCTGATGGCTCCTGCCCATCAGGGATGATCCCAACCCTCGGGGAAGCGCTGGGTCCTCGGGGGGGGATCCACATCCTGTCCTCTGCTCACCTGAGCCCTGCTTGGGATTCAGCCCCTGGAGCCCGTGGTGAGGCAGGGGAGGGGGAGCAGGCTGGAGGGAGGTGAGAAAAAGGCAATCTGCCTTGAGCGTGGCGAGCAGCTCAGTGCTGTCCGGAGCCCTTGGGCAAAATAAAGCACCTTAGGGACACTCCTCTGCAAAGAGTGCACAGGGACAAAGACTGCACTTTAGGGACACTCCTCTGCAAAGAGTGGACAGGGACAAAGACTGCACCTTAGGGACACTCCTCTGCAAAGAGTGCACAGGGACAAAGACTGCACTTTAGGGACACTTCTGCAAAGACTGCACCTTAGGGACACTCCTCTGCAAAGAGTGGCAGGTTTGCACCAGGACCTTTGCACATCCCACCTTCCCTGCCCATCTTCAGCAGAGGGAAAAAGAGAGGGGAGGGAGGTCATATTGCACTAGTGCAGAAGCATCTAAGCAGCTGCTGCTTTGGGGAGGAAAGTGTGAGAGAGGGTGGCACCTGGGTGTGAACACTGCAGAGCTGCTTCATCACCCTGCACTCCATCTCACAGGGCTCCCGGTCAACCCCTCTGCCCTTGCTCAGCCCAGCCTGCCCCTGCTCTGCACAGCATCAGGAAAACATCAAACCCCCTGCAGGAAGCGTGGCTATGCCTCCATTACCTCAGGATGAACCAGGGGGGAGGTGTTTTCCAAAAACTCAGTGATAATGTTTGTTACTTTACAGCCTTAACATTTCCCAATGGGGTTCACAAGGAAAGAAGAAAAAAGAGTATTGGATACATTTCGCAAGGCACAAGGAGAGAAATTAATTTCCTTGGTGCCTTGCTAGAGGGGAGCATGTTTTGGGTCTGGACTTGGCTCTGTGGGGCAGTGAGGGGACGAGGAGGAGGAAGAACAAGGAAGCAAAAGAAAGGAGGGGGCAGACGAGTGGGCGCAGATCCTCACGGTGTGCAGAGGGGCCGTCAGCGGGCCAGGGCCATGATGAGGCTGGCACACATCTCGAAGAAGTCCATGGTGTGGCTGCCCAGGCGGGGGGGCACCGAGGGGATGCTGCCCACGAAGGAGCCGCTCAGGGAGCCCATCAGAGACTGGCACTCGGTGGCCGCGGCCGCGTCGATGCTCAGGCGAGGCCGGTGCAAGCCCGCGGCCGAGCAGGAGCGCTGGGGCGTGGAGGAGCCAGACCTCTGCTCCATCACCTCGTCTGGAAAAGCCAGAAACAAAACAAAGGGAGAAGAGAGGAAAAGCGGGATTAGCTCGGCAGGGGCTGTGCAGGTGAGGTGATGAAATGGAAACAGCAGCAGAGTTTGAGAGGCGTGAAAGGGCTTCTGCTGAAACGACACACGTGGAAGAGCTCCAAAACGCAGAGGATGGTTCTTAAACTTCCAGCCTCGCCCTTCTGCGTGTCCTCCATCTCCTACTCACCATCAATGCTTTTGAAGTCCAGCAGATAGCTGCGGTTGTCCACCTGGTAGAGCTGCAGGCTCATCTTCACGTAGTTGCCGGTGACGGGGTTCTTGCGGCGCACCCGCAGGTGGTAGGCGTTCACCACCTGCAAGGGGAAACCTGCCCTCAGCAGGGACACTCCAGGCAGCAGCAGGAACACTTCCTCCCTTATTTTTTCTAAATATGAGCACGACATCATCTGGGAAAAACAGTTTCTCAAAAGGACAACCACTATAAAATGAAGCAAGCGGCTTCGTTTCCTCCCATCTTTAAATATTCTTCTTAAGGCTGTGATTCACCAGCTGCTGGCTGGGGAAGCTGCAGTGACCCATCTGCCAGGCACAAAACTGATGTTTGCTCCTCCCTCAGCAGCAGCCATGGCCACATGGACCAAAAAAGTCCACTCGTGGGCCCACACACATGGACAGTGCTGGTGAAATCAGGGCAAGCTGGGCAGAGCAGAGCAGCCTCCCCCATCAGCACAGCCAAACCCAGTGCCTGTGGATCAGCCTCAGGCTGAGTATTTCCCCTCTCTGCTTCCCACCTCACAATCTGCTGCATCTCATTTACAATGAGATCTTTTCTCTGTGCTATATTTATGAAGCAACTGTGTGGATGGGAGAGTTAATTCTGATGAAGAGTCACATCTGAAGCTATTCTTAGGGTGGGAAAGGCTATTGTGAAACCTCCCCATATGAAATAAGCTGCACTGCCTACACAGACATGTTGGGCTGAGTTGGTTTTTGAGGCTGTAGCAGAAATACAGCAGGTTTGTTCACTCCCTGTAAAACCTTGCAGCTAAAAAATGTCTGGCTGATGTGGGCAAATGCACCTGGCCACGGTCCATCTCCTGCCTGGTGCAGGGAAATGGGGTTTCTGGAAGCTACTTGGTTTTTAAGATGTAATATTATCAAAAATAAGGAGGAGGCAGGAGGTTTTCAAGAAGTAGAACAGTGAAATGCACACAGTACCACACTAGGGACCTGGAGGGAGGAGGGGAGCCCCTCTGGTGATGAAGATCTGGGCTGAAATTCTCCTTACCTGGCTCCCAATGCTCACATCATGCTGCTGCCAAAGGCCACGAGCCAGGAGAGCTCACCTCAGGGGCTGCACCAGGATTTGGGGAGTCAGGCACAGCAGCAGAGCTCCAGGGCTAACTTAGGGATTTATTATTCCAACTTTGAAAAGGACTGTGCCTAAATGTTGCACAGCCCTGGAGAAATACCTGCAGTGAATACTGTCAGTTAAAACATCTGGATTTAAATCAAGAAGCTGAGCCCTAAACTAAAGAAGCCATAAGTATCTGAAAACACATCTGGTCTGTGAGCACTGCTGCATCTCCATCAGGGAAAAGCCACCACATCAAAGATACAAATTCTGCACCCAAGACCCCCTTGCCCCTCATCTGTGCATCCTTTAGGACAATTTGTACTGTACCATTTCTGTCCTGACAGGACCAGGCAGAAATAATGAGAGTTCCTCTGCTCAGGAGCACTCGAGATGACCTCGCAAGGAATTAGCCACTAAAATTAGAAATGTGAACAGCTCCTCTTATCCCTGCAGCTAAACAAGGCAGAATCATCCTTCCACCTGAAGTCTTGGAGCACCTTATTTCACACCATAAAGAAACACCACAGCTAAGCACAAATAAGCACAGCTGGCACCTTAATTCAGTGAGTTTGCCTTAACAAGGAATAGCAGGGATGATTGCAAGGTGGGGGCATTTATCTGGTGTTCCTGTCATATTTTCTAGAAAAATCTCTTTGCCCAGGATTTTGCTCCTGGGAAGCTGAGAAGCCTCAGAGAAAAATGAAAACAATAATGATCTGATTTGCTTCTCCTGTGTTTTGCTGCTTTGGAATGTATTTGGACATTGTTTATACCAACAGGTGGTTATTTCATTGGTTTCATGTGTGTGAATTGTTTTGACTTAATTGCCAATCATGGTCCAGCTGTGTCAGGACTCTGGAAGGAGTCATGAGTTTTCATTATTATCTTTTTAGCATTCTGTCTGTATCCTTTCTCTATTCTTCAGTATAGTGTAGTATAGTTTAGTATAGTATTCTATTCTATAATATAATATTATATATATTTAACATATATAATAATATATATCAAATATATAATATATATTTAATATATTATATATTTATATAATAATATATAAAACATATACTATATATTAATATATATGATATATTATATAATAATATTGATATAATATTATATATTTAATACCATAAAATAATAAATTAACCTTCTAAGAACATAGAATTAGATGCATCATTCCTTCCTCCCTTCCCTCGTCGGGACTCCTTGCAAATACAACAATCTGGGAACAGGTGGGGGCATTTATCTGGAAACAGGTGGGGGCATTTATCTGGGAACAGGTGGGGGCATTTATCTATCTGGAAACAGGTGAAGCTCCCTGATTTTATGGGATAAAGGATGCTGGAAACCCACCCCAGCACTCCCTACCTTCCACTCGAAGTCCAGCTGCTTCATAGCCCGGTACACCTCGGCCATAATGTCGTAGGGCTTGCTCTGGCTGCGGATGCCCAGGTGCCACTTGGCCTTTTTGACAGTCAGGGGCTTTGGCTTGGTGGTGTTGAGGGCGTCCAGGGGGCAGCGGGCCTTGGGGCTGTCGGCAATGAGCGGCGGCATCCGCTCGGGGTGCGGCTTCACGCCCGGCGGGATGTGCAGGGCGCTGTCGTCCATGAAGGAGCCCGTGGGGGGGCTGGAGGCCAGGTAGAACTCGCTGGCCTGGTTCATGATGCGGCGGTTGTCGATGACCAGGTGGTAGGCCACGGCCAGCTGGTCCTGGGGGTCGCCGCTGTACAGGCTGTTCATCACCTCCGACTCGGTGCACTCGAACTTCTCGCACACCTCGCGCACCGCCTCGTCGTCGATGACCGTGGCGTCGTAGGAAGGGTCCTCTGGGAACAGGTAGCTGGGCAGCTCCTCCTTGAACCACTCGTGTTCCCTGGGGGAGGCACAGAGGAGCCGTGATGTGAGAGGGGAGGTGGGGAAAGCACCACCAGACAAGAGTGAACCCCAGCTGATGAACAGGGAGCAAAACGCAGCCCGGTACAGGGACACCGATGGCACTCTGCACACTGGGTTTGAAGTGAGACTCAACACTTCCAAGGTTTCCTTTTTTTCTAATACAGAGCATCAAACCTACCCAATCCCCATGCCCAATACCCAATTCTCACTAATTTCAATGTGGTGAATGATAATTAAGTGTCTAAAACTTACACGCTGCCTTGTCTGTAGGCTCTATGTACTGACAGTAATCTCACCACATGTGCAGCCTCTCTAACATGTAATTAAGTCCTCTCATCCTAAGGAATTAAGGAATAAAATAAGGAAGTTTGCATGGGTTTGCTTGAAGGGTAAAATTAAGGCTGTCCATTGAAAACCTGAGAATTCCTGGAAGCCCTAGTAACATTTGTGTTCATGCTTAGCACATAGCTACATGTAATTTACATATTAAGTTAGTAACTCTTGGGTTTCTCCTCCTTTTCTTTTGGATATACATTAAGTACAATGATTACCCCCTTTATCTGGTACCCATAGGGACGTGATCTTGAAATATGATAATGAAAAATGGCTGTTGGATATTATTAAATTCTTGGGATTATTGCATGCTACAGCTGCTTTTGCTAAGTGCTGTTAAGAGATTTTTAAGGCTAGTTTATAATGCAATGAAATAGAATTTTAAGTATTTGTATATAAAATATACATAAAAATCCTCATCCTGTTCATCATCATTCACTTCCAGCCAGCACAGAAGGGGTGCAGGGCTGGTCCTTGAATCACCTGGGACAAAAACCATCTGGATTAGCTCCTGAAAACCACCCTGCCCACCTGCCAACAGGTGACCCCCAGGAAAGCCACCAGAGGCCCCCACGGGCAGCCAGCCCACCCCAGCCCACCTGATGTCCTTGATGGTGGCTCTCTTGAGGGGGTCCACCTGCAGCATGTGCATGAGGAGTGTGGCCACGGAGCGGTTGAGGTATTCAGGGATGTAAAACACTCCCCCACGGATCTTCTTGAACAGGGTGGGGACGTGCTCGTCATCAAAAGGCAGAGTGCCACACAGGAGGGCATAGAGGATGACACCACAGCTCCAGATGTCCACCTCTGGGCCAGCATAGAGCCTGCATGAGGACAAGGACAGGAGAAAGCTGTCACCACCATCCTCTCGTCAGTCAGGGTGCAGGGTCTGTGTCACCCCATCCTCTCCTCAGTCAGGGTGCAGGGTCTGTGTCACCCCATCCTCTCCTCAGTCAGGGTGCAGGGTCTGTGTCACCCCATCCTCCCCTTAGTCAGGGTGCAGGTTCTGTGTCACCCCCATCCTCTCCTCAGTCAGGGTGCAGGGTCTGTGTCATCCCATGCAGGTTCTGTGTCACCTCCATCCTCTCCTCAGGCTCTGTGTCACCTTCACCTTCTCCTCAGGCTCTGTGTCACCCCATCCTCTCCTCAGTCGGGGTGTAGATGGGGGGATCCCCTGCCAGCTCCAGCAGGGACAGATCTCCAGCCCACACCAGGGCTGCTCACATGGCTCCCCCCCAAACCAAATGGGCCTCAGCCAAAAGTGCTCAGGGAAACGAATGGCAGGGCTGGCACTGGCTGCCCACACTCCTGTGTACAACCCTGCCTCCACCAAACTCTCCAAAAAGCCAAACCTCACATTTCCAAGAGCCCTGCCAGGCTGTTTGCTCCTTTGCCCCAGCAATTCCTGTTCATTGAACAAGGCAGATCAAGCAGCAACAGATAATTCTATCTCTGAGTGTTTCTTTTTGGTGTGCTGGGATCTAAGTGCCCCTGCTTCCTACAAGCTGCCAAATGTGCTCTCTGCCATCACCAACTCAGGACACCCCAAATAATACAGCTTTGCTGCTCCTGCTCATCTCTTTTTGCTACATCTGATGCCTCCCCAGAGGTTTTGGGAAGCAACACTTGCCCTTGGGCTGTGAGGCCCAACCCAAATACAGAAGTTGAAATGCACCTACAGAAGTGTCTTCATGAAACCTCAGCATGCTGCACTTGCTCCTCCTGAAAAGCATCACTGCAGATATATCAGTGTGGAGGAAATCACACTGGTCATGCAGGTGACCATTCTCTGAACACCCCCAAAACACTTGGTCTGCTTCTCCAAGGGTGAGAGTTTCCCTGCTGAGGCCAGGGACAGCAGCAAAGCCATTTTGGAAAGGCAGAGGCTGAGCTGGATGCCTCCTCAGCCCTGCCTCCATGCCCAGCTCCCACAGATCAGAAACCTGATTCTTTCACTGGCAAGAGCACTGCCTGAACAGTTTTTTGGACCTTTAAGCCCACATGAAATGCACTTTCATGGCTCTGAAGCCTGAGCTGTCACACTCTGCTGCTCTTGTGCTCTATCAGGGCAGGCAGCAGGAGCCAGGAGTCAGCTCCCCCCTGCCCCACAGAGCCACCAGCAGGGCAGGGAGGCTGGATGGTGCCTGTCCCCCCCAAATGCAGCTCTGAGAAGAGGCCAGCTTGGCACATTGAGCAGGGCCGTGAAACTCAGGCAGCCCTGGGCCTGCAGGTGGGAGTGGTGAGGGAGGGATGCAGCTGCAGCCAGCCAAAAAGTGCAACCTGTGGGCTTGGTTTTGGTTTTCATTCTTACTTACGTTGTCACTAAGCTGCATTGCCTGGACCCTTGGAACACTCGAGGACTAAATCCTCCTTGCTGATCTATCTTGTCTCCTATACAAATTGAAAAACACGTGTCTGGCCTCCACTGAGATGGAAATGCTATTTTTTTGGCATCCCAGTAGTTTCTTGCTTTGTCCCCTTCTTGACAATGAGGATTTACTTGGTTTCATTTCACACACAGAGCTGTAGTCACAACAGGTTTTTGGATGCTAGTCTAATTCCTAGGATGCTCTGCCAAAACTTGCTCTGGTGTAAACAGGGATAAAATAATCAAAATCACAGCAAACACATTCTGAACAAAATGTTCTATTTAAAAGCCACAGATATAGGCAAAAATACACTGGATTGGGAAAAGTAAAGCTCATGGCAAAGGGAAATCAAAATAAAATAGGAGCAGATAGTGAGATGAGCAGTTTGAAGGATCATTCAGAGGAGGGAAATTTGAAAATCTGTATTTGCAATCTTTGCTAAGGTATTACAGAGAGAATTAGGGCAAAATGTACATTCTATATAATTTCTGTTCCTGACAGCAAAATACAGGAGGCAACATTTCTGTATCAACACGTGGAAGTCCAATTCAGCCTTGTGGGGTGTGCCCAGCACTCCATGTGCTGTACAGATGTTCATGCTGAGAGATGCAACCACAGAGGAGGTTTGTCAATTCAATGAATCAGCTCAAAACAAAGCTCTGAAGGTTGAACTGACTGCCACAGCCAAAACCCCAAGCTCAAGGAACCAGAAGACAAGTATTTTCTTTGCCAGTGTTGGGAAGGGATTAAAGATCTTCCTGCTCCTTTTGTTAGTGAATGGTTTTCCTCATTAACACCGTGTTTTATATTACAGGTGGGCAGGAGAGGAGGGGGTGGCCTGGAAAAGCCTTTCCACCTGGAACCTCAGTATTTGCATCCAAAGAGTCATTTTCACCCTCTTTAATTAGCAATATAAACAGTCAACATCTGGTATTAATAATTCCTCCAAAGTAAACACCTGTAGCAAAACACGGTTTGCTATTACAGCTACTGAGAAGTAAAATAAGCAAGAAAACCTTCAGATCTTTGCCAACAGATTCACCCAAACACAAAATCCAGGTTGGAAGGATTCAGCTGCTTTTACTAGACGTGCAAAGCTGTTTCCAATACCAAGAACAAATTCAAACTCCATGTGCTCACATAGACTCTGGTGAGAAATGGAATGTCTTACCTCCCAGAGATGACTTCAGGGGCTGCATAATTTGGGGAACCACAGCTGGTACGTAGAAATTCACCATCTGACATCATGTTGGACAGTCCTAAAAAAACCAAAATGCTTATTACACACTGATGTTTGATCTGAAGGTCCAGACATGCTGTGTGACATGTGTCACACAGAGGAAAGGCAGGGAAGTGGAGGGGGTTATTTGGAAGGGAACTGTTGATATAATTTAGATAGACTTCTCTGAACTGATTTGAAAATTATTACTTTTGTTATTATTGTTATTGTTGTTGTTTGTTTTTTTTGTTGGGTTGGGTTTTTTTCCCACATCCAACCAAGAAATATTCACTCCAGGCTAATTTTGCTCCTCTAAATTGCAAATCCCAGAGCACAGAGGAGAAGAGACATAATTCATCCCAGAGCAGTCACTTCATATGGCAACTGGGGCTGTGAAATGAGTAAATCTTCAGAAGGATTTACATTGCTAGAAAGGACTCACCAGGATAGAGTTGGTAGCCTGGGTATTTTAATGGATTTCAACCCCTAATACCACTTAGAGACTCCTGTTACTGCTGGTTGTAAAATGAACTGAGGCCAAGAGCACATGGCCAAACAGAGGGAGAGCATGCACGAAAATAAACACACACAGCCAGCTCCCCCTGAATCAGCTGCACCCAGCCTGCCTCAAACACAAATTAGGTAAATCTGACGTCGGGTGATTACATTAAAACACAGCAGAGATTTACAAATCCTCTGCTCCATTCTCAGTGCCACTACAGGAGCAGCCTGCAGCAGGTAATCCCTGCTGCTGCAGGAAGGGCAGTGTTGGTGAGCGTGGGATTTCCAGGTGGCTGGGGCAGCAGGCTCTGCTGCTCCCTGGCCACACTCCAGTGCCTCTGGAATGCTGCTGGGCACATTCACATACCAAAATCAGCTATCTTTGCATTCATGTGTGCATCCAGCAGCACGTTCTCTGGCTTCAGGTCCCTGTGCACCACCATGTGCCTGTGGCAGTAATCCACTGCAGACAGGATCTGCTGGAAAAGGCGTCGAGCTTCTGCCTCCTCGACCTGCGGGCACAGCAGAGGGAACAGCGCTGGGGCTTGGGGTGCACTCAGGCAGGGGAAGGTTGCACTTAGCAAGGAGCCAAAAAAGCTTCCAGAGTGCAGAGGGAAAATCTCAGAGGGTCTGAGAGCAGAAGCAGCAAATAAAGCAGATTTCTCACCCTTGTATTCTACAATGTGCCAGCGTTTGAAAATGATACAGCCCCGAGATGAAAGGTGAGACCTCAGCTCAGCTGAGATGCCAACAAGAATTTAAAGGTGGCACCTATCAGACAGTGGCCTGCTGTCCCAGTGGGACTGGTACAGATCCAGGCTGGACAAAACACCACAGAGGACGTTGCTGGGAGCAATTCCTTGTGGACTTCCTCTGGAAGCAACAGGTGAAGCTGGAATATCGTGGTGATTTTAATTACCTGTGTAGCTAATAAAGTTGTATGAGCTATATCAGAGAAACTATATTTTCAATTATTATTTTACTGTTGAATTCCAAAAGACTCCCTCCATGAAAAACTGAGTTTATCAGAAAAGATCCAAATCAGCCACTGAAAAGATCTAGATGGGTAACATGTGTGAGAAATCAGAACTGTACATAGGAAAGAAAACTGAGCCAGCTCCATTGACCACTACACTAATCTAACCCAATCTGCAGTAAATGTATTGATTTTGTAGCACAGAGAGGGAACATGTGATGGGCTGATCCTTCACCTGAACCCTTTTTCTGGATGTCCACTTTGGCCCATTTTTACCTCCTTGCCCTGCAACTGCTCCACGGGGCAGACACCAGCGATTTTCCTTCTAACCAAAATCTCACATTTCACAGGTGATTTATACCCAGTGGGATTGCTGGCATTTGAAAATGTTGCTCAGATAAGCCACATCCCTGAAAAGCCTTCAAAGAGCCTGACATGGAACCAAGAGGGGGCTCTGGGAGAGGTGAATGACAGGAGTGGAGACCACACCAAGTGGTCTTCCCCGTCCCATGCCATAAATTTGCTGCTGATCCTGGGGGTTTTAAGAGGCAACCTAAAGCTAAAAATCACAAAAATAAGCCAGTTTTCCAAATATTTGCCCTAAGCAACACGTTACCTTGGATATTTTGGTTTGAGGGTCAAAAATACACCAGAGAACTCTGCGAAAAATCACACGCAAGTTTTGTGCGAGCCAGTACGAGACACCCCAGATGGGGTTGCTGTGAAGCAACTTCTATTTTGGGCCTTAACCTTAACTGTGCTCCCTTGAGCAGTGATTTTGCTCCTGAACACCCTCCTCTTCCCACACATGTGCTGGGGCTGGCTCGGGACTGGCACTTACACGTCCGTGCTTACAGATGTAATCAAACAATTCCCCCCCGGACACGTATTCCATGACCATGAAGAAGTCTGTTGGTGTGCTGATGACCTGGTACCTTCAAAAACACAAGCAGATTTAAAAAAAAAATACATCATTAGGAACAGGGAAAGGCTTTTAAACAGATTATTAATTCCACATCAACACTTCAAATAAGGATTTGTTTGGATCTTGCATTTCTAACAGCTTTCCACTTCTGAAAAGCTGTCTTTCATTTCCAGTATAGTCTTTCACTTGTTTGTGGAAGGACCTCTTTTCCACACCTATGATCTTCCTTCAGCCCTTTAAATAATCCTCTGAAATATCTGCCAGGCAATCTTACCACATTTAGGACTGCCCTGACTTTCAAATTTCCATTTTGGGTAAGATCTGCAACAACAGCTTTAGAAATGAAGTCCTGGCTAGCTGAGGGCAAGGAGAGGATCCATCTGGTCTCCCTCATATCAAGATAAAAAAGAGATAAAGAGCTCTAGGCACTAGAGAGAACTTCCTCTGGACAGGTACAGAAACAAAAAGGAGACCCCCTGAAGTTATTTTTCAAATATTAAATCTCTCCAGAATGGGGGGAAATCCTTCTAGAATGGAGGGAAAAACCCAGGGTATCACCTTTAACTTGCAGATTTATTCTCCATTTTCCTTCAAAATGATCCCTGAGTGCTGCAAAGACATTTCAGTGTCCCAGCTGGAACAAACTGCCAGTGATCACTGAGGTCAATGCAGCCCCAGGAATTCACAGCAGCACCAGCTGGGACCTCCCTCTCTTTTATTTCAGATTCATTGTTTTGTTGCTGTTGTTTTGGGTTTTTTTTTCATCTGAATTTCATTACTTTTTACAGGACTGTAATTTGAAGCAAAGAGATTTCAGCAATTTTTAAGAGGGTGGCAAGGGAATGTGGGATACTCCCATAAAAATCAACACCATCAACCTCATTTTTCTGAAGAGCTTTGGACCCAGACATCTAAGCTACTGTTAATTGCCCCAGTATTTCTTTTATATACATTAAAAATCTTATTGAAAGAGGTTTTTGTGCCCCAGTCTCCTCACATCTTTATCACTGTATTTCATGAATGCAACATGTATCACAGGACACAGATATTGTCAAACTGGATTTAATTTTTACTGCTTTGACAAATGTGTGAACAGGATTTGACTTGCAGGATGCTGGGCACACAGCTGAGGAGTCTTGCTGGCGCTTTTTTCATGAAATAATACCAATCTGTTCTCCAATAAATCCATGGAACTGTGAAGTTACTCTAAAGTCAACAGTTGCTGCACGGTTAGTTATTTAACTGTAGAGAGAATTTGTTTTCCCTTGCCTCCAAGTCCCAGGTATTTGCTATATCTCATGCCAGTTTTAAGGCTGACCTAAATGTCAACTTACCCTTGCAGTTACCATTCAACAGCTTTCTTTTATAGGAATGCCAAAGATATTATCGAGTGCCTCATTAATGTGGGCTGGCTGCACAAGCTGGGGATTGAGCAGGAATCCCAGAGGCTGCAGTGCAGGTGCTGATTTACGACCCCAACTCAGGTTCATCAAAGTGGAGACTTTCAAAACTTATGTCTGAATAATAAATTTTGAAAGAAGAAGAAGAAAAAAAAAAAAATGTTCTTTTAAGCTCTGGCTAATCAGTGCATTAAAACATAAATCCTATTGAGTGGAGGCCAAGGTTGCACTCTCAGAGCCTGACCGTGCTGCAGTTCATGGAATCATGGAATGGTTTGGGTTGGAAGGGACATTAAAGACCATCCAATCCCAACCCCTGCCATGGGCAGGGACACCTTCCACCGTCCCAGGTGGTTTAAAGTCCCATCCAAACCTTGCCTTGAACGCTTCCAAGGATGGGGAAGCTTCTCTGGGAAACCTGTGCCAGTGGATCGCCTAACACACAAAAACTTGAGCAAACCCAATTTTGAGTGCCCTAATCCATCTCCTGAAGGCCAGCCAGCTGTGTGTGAGAGGTCTCTGTGCAGAGAGGAGCAGCTGCACACGTGGCAGGGAGGGTACTCACAGCTTGATAATGTGAGGGTGCCGGAAGAGTTTCAGGTTTTGGATTTCTCGTTTGATCTTCCCCACCACATCCAGGCTGCGGATTTTCTGCCTGTTCAGTATTTTCACTGCCACTTTGTGCCCTGTCAGCTGGTGCTCACCAACTATTAGAGACAGAGAGAGAGCATTGCAAAGTCACTAAACAGTGCAGCAGGGTTCACACAAGCAGCTTGGGGCACTGTAAGCAAAAAGCCGCTTCTGAAGGGGAAAAAAGCAGAAGATGAGGGTGTGAAATATTTTAAAGTTTTTGTCTCCTCACTGTTTTCCCAGTGGAGTCATAGAAGGCAGAAGAGAGGGGACTTATCTGCCAAAAGCACTCCACTAAATAAGAGTGAGTTGCTGGAGGAGGTCATACCCCAAGCTAATTTGCAAGGATTTATAGCATGTAAAAGCTATAATAATCAGAAACAGATATATTTAAATGGCAGAGGAGAATCTCTACCATAACACACTGGTAGACAAAATCCCTCATAAACCCAGCCTTAAAACTAGACCATCACACTTCTTTTTTTTTTAAAAATGGTATGGGGATTTTCCTTGCCCAAAATAGGACTGCAGGATTTGCATTACTAAAATGAATTTCTATTTATACTTCCCCCAGCGTGCTTCTTGCTTTGATGACAAGCTGCAGGAACACTGCTGGACTGCAGCAGCAAACTCTGCTTTTAGGAAGGATGCAAACTCCAATATGGGGTTTTTTTAAAAAATGCACTTGGTGCATTGAGATGCTGATGTTTATCTCCTGTGTTCAGGGAAAAATCATACCCATAAACTGGGAGGAGCAGCGCCACTGTCACTGGGGGAATTGTAATTAATGATGTGAAACTAATTCAGCGCGGGATCCATTTGTTATCAATAAACAAACCACACCAAAAAAAAAATAAAAAGCTCCCAGGAAGCAAGATTTATATTGAAATAGCAAGATTTATATTGAAATAGAGAGAAGAAAGAGCTTAAAACGTGGTGTTTATACCCAAAAGGGGTTCTCAGAACGAGCTGCCCCTTCTCAGCATTTTCCAACATGATATTCAACAGTGACACACGGATGGTTTCCTAAAGCCTGCACAGAAAAACCTGCTTACAGTAAATATTTGTGCTCTCTAATTACCAGCATCACCCTTCCAGTGCAAGGAGTTAATTATTGCCAGCAAACCTTGTTATTACATTATTAGAGCCTGTAATTTTGGCAGCCCTAATGAGCTGATCAGAAGCACCCGGGGTGAGCAGGAGGTGTGAGAAGGGCAGGGCAGCAGCACTCAGGGCACACCAGGTCACTATTATTAGCCACCAGATAAGACCTGCCAGAGATTCTTTCCTCAAGAAGAGCATCCTAAAAATAAAACACTTTACTGCCCTTGAAAATTAAAGCACCACTTTGCATGTCCATTTTATTCCTCGTAATACTTAAAACTACTAGATGATGGAATGAAAATAAACTCAGCTTTGCAGCAGAGATGCAATTTAGGGATTAGCTGAGGGCTGGAGGAGGCAGATAATTCCTCAGAGGGCTGTAAATAGTCCAGGGAGGCATTTTCCCTGGTGAATCCTCAGGGAGAGGAGAGCAGGGCAGAGCTGCAGGGAGGTGAAGCAAAGTTTTTTCACTGAACTAGGAGGAAAACCCTGATTTCTACCACCCTTTGTTTCAGGACAATGCTCTCTGGCCTTGCCTCAGCATATGCTTTGAAATTTTTTTATTATACACTAGGGAGGAAAAAAAAAAAAAAAGGCCATGCCCAGAATGAATAATTATTGTTTTTAATACTATTGCCAAATAGTTCATCCCCTTTCCCATCTGTGACAAACAACGTGTAACTCTGCAAAGGTTTGCTAGCACGAACACATTAATAATTAAAAATAAAGCAGCCTATTTTGTAATCCATCTTTTGCTTACAGTAAGCATTGGATACAGAGATATTATTGTTTCTGTCCCCAGTGACTGGTTGAGCCTCCTTGAACTCGGTGAGAGAAGACAAAGAGGGAACACAATCTCCTGTGTGGTGGGAGACTCTCAAGCCTTTGAGGGCTCTCTGGACTGCAGGAATTCAGACACGGGCAGTGTGAACAGCCCTCCCTCTGCTCACAGAGTCACTGAAGCCCAGGTCCATCCCAGAAGTGAGGGGCAGTCCCAGGTCTCCCCCAGGCATGGCAGAGGATCCTCACCCCAAGGTGAGGACACCTCCTTCCCTCCCACTGCCTCCCCAGATTCAGAAAGTGGAAAGGGGACTCTTGACATTTGCTTATTTTTATAAAAGGGAGAAAAAAAAAAAGAGGAGGAATAGTGATTATAGCACCATAAGCACAGATAATAAATAAACCCCTTGACAGCATGGATTTCTGCATCACTTTCTTTATCCTGCCAGCTCAGGCAGCACAAGCAGTCAACATCTTTGCAAATGCTTCAGGACAATGTAGGAGCTCTGTGGAGGGGTGAGGAAACTCCTTCCCTATCAGCTCTGCTGGCCCTTATCTCAGCCCAAAGGGAACAATGAAATCCATCCCAAGCATATATTTAGCAATGCTGTGTTAATTCTGCTTGTGTGTTGTCTCAGCCTCTCCCTGTCCTTCCTCCTCTCAGTCTCCTTTAGTTTATCTTCCCTCTGACACCAAGTTTGTCTTTCAGCAGCAATGCCACAGTGCCTGGGAAAAAAATGGGATCTGATCCCAGCTGGAGCCCATGGAGGTGACACAAACACAACCCAAGTCCTCAAGGGACCACAAATCTGTCACTTTGGTGGCAAACAAGCCAGGCAAAGGAGCCACCAAGGATGCCACGGGCAGCATCACACAGGGAGAATATCTGGGTTACTACTGTGAACCTCACTGTGGTCACAGCAGAGCTTTTGGGGACCCAAAAAGCTTTTGGGGACCCACAGGGTGGGACAAGCCCACAGCAAGCACAATTTGTCTCATCTGTTCCTGCCAATCCCCTGGGAAGGAGATGCCACCTCCTTCCTCCAAGGCTCTGCTAAACTCCCAAATCCAAGACCTCCACAGTTCTATTTCTGCAAATTATTCTGATTTTCTGCAAATTAGATTTTTTTTTTCCTGCAAATAATTCTATTTTCTGCAAATTATCTTTGGCCTGGAGGACAGGGAAAATAACAACATTTGGTAAAAATGCTGTGTGGTAACTTCAAGCCTTGACATGACACCTCCTGTCCATCCACCACATCAGCTCCTGCCACCTTCCTCTCCTCTAACAGAGGCTGGGTCCTCATCCCCACTTCCAGATGGAATTTCAGTGTTAGCACCAAAACCCTGCCCTCAGCTGCCAGCCTCTTTGCTCCCCTCCATGCCTTGAGTGGACTTTCTGTAAATGAGATCAAGAAACTGAATGGGCTTAAAACAAAACAGTTTCTTGCAGTGTTCAGCCAGTTTTTAGGAGGATGTCCCAGGCAGTCAGGGACTTTTTCTGTCGTGTCTCTGGCTCCTGATGGCTCAAAATGACTCCTCTGCTCCAGCCATGGGCTGAAACCCTGGTTTGTACCCCATGTCACTAAATCCTCCCTTTTATTGCCATTTCTTATGTCCCTAATAACAATAATCCTGAACAACTGTAAATTATGATTTCTTAACTTTGACGAGTAAGGCAACAAAAGGCACCAAAACCAGAACCTTGTGCAAGGCAGAATTTGAAGAAAACACATCAGCAACAAGAAATGTCACTGATGGCACCTGACTTCTCCCTGAAACAGCAGTTATTATACCCAATACCCAATGCTTGAATCTATCAACAAAAACCCCTACTTTTCTCAGGTGAATACAAGTTTTTCTAAAACTCATTCGATTAAAATGCTGTAATTCTATATAAATGGGAGATTCCATTTCTTCATTTCAGTTCCCAGTCTCAAACACAAACCTCACCTGTCAGTTGTAAGCAAAGTATTAAGGGAAAAAAAACATACAAAGGGTACCACTCACCTATAAAGGATTTTGAGCTAGGAAATCTCTTTTATGTTATTTGAAATATTTCTTTGGAAAACGTCTGTTTTTACCACACTCGGGTCATATGTGGGGTAGGGGGTATTTGTGCTAGTTTAGGGAAAAAAAAAAGGGTATTGTTGGCAAGTTTAAATTGGTCTGCAAGGAAAAAAACCTGCCTTTGGAGCAGTTTTGAGGTCTGCTACTACACACGAGTGATTTAAATGGTCCTTACTGTTAGAAGTATTTATTCTGATAATTCTTTAGACAGTAAATTTGTGGTTTGTGATTATACACAGCAATATATTTTTAGGGGCGTGATTAATGGCCACAGGTGGACTTAGCTGCAGTGGTTGTGGTGGTTTCTTTCATCTGCTGTCAATTTGGGTTTATTTTAAAACTGGGGGCAGGCACAGCACCCCCTTTGCCCAGCCACATCCCAGTGGGGTGAGGGGACACTGAGCTGCTCCCCCAGCTCGTGCTAAACCAAATTCCAACGGGGAAACACAGCTCAGACACTGAATTTTGTTGGTTTTCTGGTTTTTTAGTGCCTTGTTTAAAAACTGAAATTTGCACGTAATGGCAGAATCCACAGGGAAAAAAAGAAATGCAAATATTTGCAAACCTCAGAGCCAGGTAAAGCAAAGCCCTCAGGATGTGAGCTGGCTGCTCTGGCATGGCTGGACAAGGAATCCCTGTGTGGAGCCCCCATCCTGCAATCCTGGAACAGTTTGGGATGGAAGAGACCCTAAAGTTCATCTCATCCCTCCTCCTGCCATGGGCAGGGATACCTCTGACTACCCCAGGCTGCTCCAAGCCCCATCCAGCCTGGCTCTGAACACTTCCAAGGATGGGGCAGCCACAGCTCCTCTGGACAACCTGTGCCAGAGCCTCCTCACCTGCACAATTTCTCATTTTGAGACAATTTCAAATTTCGAGACACTCTAATGACTCATAATGCCTCCTATTTGCAGGTAGTTGATAATTAATTCGTTTAAAAATGGAATTTGCAAACTGGAAGCCTTTTTGAGAGAAGCGCTTGATTAAGTTACTACAATGGAATCTTCATGCAACTTGGTCCACGAGGATTAAGGATGACAAAATATATTTACATGAATAAAATACTGATTTCATTGATGATGATAATGCTGAGACTAATAGACTTAATTAATAATTATTTACAACACAATAGAGATAGTTATAACTAGTAGTTATTACTAGTAGTTTCTGTTGGGAACAATTTCTCCCCAACACTTCATCTAACCCTGCCTTCTGTCAGCACCAAGCCATTCCCTCTGCCCCACCACTCCACGCCCTGCCAGAAGTCCCTCTCCAGCTCTGCTGCAGCCCCTTTAGGCACTGGAAGGTGCTCTCAGGTCTCTCAGGAGCCTTCCCTTCCCCAGGTGCAGGCGCAGCCCGTCCATCCCTGCCCCTCCATCCCGCGGGGCGATGCTCGGAGCGCGGCGGGGCAGCACCACGAACCACCTCGGTTCTGGCTCCAGGAGCACCCCGGAGCACCTGCGGGCCCTGGCAAGGACGGCAGCGCATTCCCGGCACGGAGGGGCAGGATGCCGGGGCGCCTCCAGCCTGCCCAGCACCTCCCTCCGAGCGCGGCAGCCAAGTTCGGGTGGGTGCTGCTCGCAGCACGGGCTCCGGGGGCTGTGACAGCCCGGAGCACCGAGGGGCCAGCGCTGCATCTCCCACAGCCCCGAGCACCGAGGGGCCAGCGCTGCATCTCCCACAGCCCCGAGCACCGAGGGGCCAGCGCTGCATCTCCCACAGCCCCGAGCACCGAGGGGCGAGCCCTGCATCTCCCACCGCCCCGAGCACCGAGGGGCCAGCGCTGCATCTCCCACCGCCCCGAGCACCGAGGGGCCAGCGCTGCATCTCCCACCGCCCCGAGCACCGAGGGGCCAGCGCTGCATCTCCCACCGCCCGCCCGCCACCGCCGCATCCCCGCCCGTGCGCCCCGGGCACGGCTCCGCCAGCCGCTCCCCCCGGGATGCCGCCCAGGCAGCGGAGCCCAGGGAAGGCAGCGGAGCCCAGGGAAGGCAGCGGAGCCCAGGGAAGGCAGCGATGCCGGCGCGGAGGCCGCGGGAGCGGGAGGAGGGAGGCGGCGGCGAGGGGCGCTCCCGGCCCGGCCCGGCCCCGCCCGCGGCCGCGGTACTCAGCTCTTGACTTTGCCGAAGGTGCCGACCCCCAGCGTGTCCCCCAGCACGTAGTGGCCGATCTTCACCCGCCCATCGTGCTTCTGCTTCTCGGCCATGTTCGCCCCCCGCCGCCGGACCACAATGCACAGGGCCGGGCCGGCGGGGCGGGGAGCGGCGCCGAGCGGAGCGCGGCGGGCCCGGCCCGGGGGCGGGGAGCGCCCGGCGCCGCCAGGTGCGGCCGGCGGGGAGGGCACGGGCAGCGCCCGCCGCGGGGACACCTGCGGGACACACCCACCGGGGCGGCACCTGCCGGGGCAACGCCCTCCGCGGTGGCACCGCTCGGGGCGCGTTCTCCGTGGCCACGCACCTGCCGGGGGTGGCGTGGCATCCTTTAGAGAGGCACCTGCCGGGGGTGACACTGTTCAGAGGGTACATTCTCTATTGCCATATACCTGCCGGGGGTGACACTGTTCAGAGGGTACATTGTCTATTGTCATGCACCTGCCGCGGGTGACATAGCATCCTTTCAGAGAGGCACCTGCCGAGAGTGACACTCCTCCGGTGACACTGTTCAGAGGGTATATTCTCTATTGCCACGCACCTGCCGGGGGTGACACTGTTCAGAGGGTACATTCTCTATTGCCGTGCACCTGCCGGGGGTGACACTGTTCAGAGGGTACATTGTCTATTGCCATGTACCTGCCGGGGGTGACATGGCATCCTTTAGAGAGGCACCTGCCGAGGGTGACACTCCTCCGGTGACACTGTTCAGAGGGTATATTCTCTATTGCCGTGCACCTGCCGGGGGTGACATCCTTTTAGAGAAGCACCTGCCAGGGTGTGACGCTCCTCCAGGGACACTGTTCAGGGGGTACACGATCTGTGACACGCAACTGCCTGGGGGTTACACCTTCTCCTGGTGACACTGTACTCAGGGTACATTCTCTATTGCCGTGCACCTGCTGAGGGGTGACACCCTCCCCGGGTGACACTGTTCAGAGGGTACATTCTCTATTGTCACACACCTGCCTGGGGGTGATGCCCTCCCCGGGTGACACTGTGCAGAAGGTACATTCTCTATTGTCACACACCTGCCTGGGGTGACAGCCCTTGGGAGCAGCATCTGCCACAAGGGACATCATCCTCCGGTGGCACTGTCCTCTGTGTGCACCTTCAATTGCCATGCACCTGCCTGGGGGTGACAGCCTCCTTTGGTGGCACTGTGCTCGGGGCGCAGTGACAGCCTCCCTGGCTAGAACATAAACTCTGTCTGGACCACATGAATTGTTTACATTCAAAAAAAAAAAAAAGAAAGAATGGATGTTCATCCCAAAAAAACAGCATGATTGAACACCGAAATCGGCACTTAGCCTATCTGGAAAGTGGTCCTGCCACATTCTAATAGTGTTAATTTGTAGCTCTTTGTTTCTCATTCAGCTGCACGAAGTAGCAGAAGGCAGTCACAAATGCAATCTGTGCTCCAAGGTAATAAAGAGCTGTTTGGGAAGCTGGAACAGTGTGTGTAAACACAGGGTCCCTGATAAAATAATGACCAGCCTATGCAACTGTGCTATCATAAATAATAAAACAGCAGCTTAATTCAAGAAATCCAATAACATAAATAACTAAAATAACAAGCTGGGGGTAGAACAGAAAGGTTGCTGTAACACAAAACCGTTTATAGGATGATGAAACCATCTCTGTTCAACCAGAACAACTGATGTACATGAAGGCATAAGAGAAACAGCATTTACAAACAGCAAACTCTGGATGAGATACAATGCTACAATCTCCTGGAATGCCTGAGAAAGCTCTGCCTTCTCCAGGCAGCTGCAAAGCTGTCAGCCCATGCAAACCTCTACCCTGCAAGCTCTGGGCAGCTCTGCTCTGCCTTTGGGGTTTGTTTGATCTCCCCTTCCAGTCCTGGCAAGCCCTGGCTCTGCCTGAATGAAACACCACACAAAGAGGTGTGAGCTCGAGCGGTGTTTGTTTAATGGTTAAACTAATATGTTTAACAAGAGCTGCTGCATGGAGATGCACTGTTCTGCTGTCCTGCTCGTTTCCTGAAAGCTGAAAATTTTTCAGTAAATCTCAGAGCAAGCTGATGCCCTGAGCGTTTCCACCGCCTCTTGACACACACAGGAGCTCTCTATTAGAAACATCAAATTATATTAATCAGTTTTTTAACTGACAGGATATATTTTGGGGGCTCAAGGTTTGCAGGTGACTCACAGAAAGGCTTTGCTTGGCAGCAAGGATGTCCCCAGGTGGGTCAGCACCTTCCACCCTCTCCACTGCTGCTGGGAGCTGAGAGCAGAGCCTGGGATGCTCCTGGAAAGCAGCGCCAGGGCTCAGCCTTGAGAAGGTTTGCCTAATTTCCCTCTGGCTTTTGAGAACCCACATTTATGTGTGTGTATGTGTACCATGGGCTCCTCACTTGCAGACACGGGGGAAGGGAGCTGTGCTGGCAGGCAGGAGCTGGAGGGTCTCAGGAAAAGGCTGGGTGGGGCGTGTTGCTAGGAGATGGAGACTCCAGTCTGGCAAAGTGGCGCTTTTATTTTTGGTGCAGATCACACAAAATGGTATTTGACTGTGAAGCAGGGTAGAAATCTCTTCTCCTTGCTTGCATTCATCTCTGAGGGATCTGTTTTGTGTAGTAGTGTTGCAGCTCATTTAAAACACAAATCAAATGTAGACTGGATGGTGTTCAGTCCAGCTGGAGGCTGGGTGTTTGCAATCTCTGAGAATCTTTTCTTTTCCTATTTTCTTTTTCCCTGCTCATTGAGAAACCCCTTGTGTGAGCAGCAGGATATATGTCTCTCTTTAGGGGAGGGCATCCCCACATGCCTCTGGTTCCTTTGTGGCTGGTTGTCTCTTGTTTTTTCAGTCACTGTGAGTTAGCAGTTGGGTTTTCTGGGTTTGGGCTTATTAAATCCATCCTGCCAGGGCTTGTTCTCCCTTCCTTTGGTGTCTCTTATTACACCAGGAGCCCCCATCCCAGCTGGCTGCATGTCCACCCTCCTCACAGACAGGGACTGTGCCATGGCACAGGGAAAGCTGCCATGGAATACCTGGCCCTTCCCTCTCCCTGGTCTGCTGCCAGGGCTGGATTTACAGGAGAAATTAGGTCTTAGTGCTAAAATGTGAGATTTTTTTGCACCTTTCTGTGGGATGCAGGAGTCCTGGGCAGAACACAGGTGGGTCCCTTGCAGCTCCCACAGAGTCTTTGGCTCGTGCTCACATTGTGCTGGTGGCTCCTCTCAGGCACCAAACTGCTTTCACTGGATATTCAAAGGGAATTTTTTGGAAATGCAGGGCTAAGCAGCAGGATGCTGAAGGGCTGGGAGGGCACCAAGGAAAAGCTGGGTGCTGCCTTCTGCAACACTTGGCTTTAGTCACCATTTGGTGTGGGTCCAGAACCTGCAGAAGGATTTGTAGGTGAACATCTCCAGCTGTGTCCAGCCTCCCCCCTCACACCCTGCCCCTGTCACCACATTTGGGTGCTGTATTTTTCCAGTTCGATGTGACCAAAAAAAAAAAAATGCCAGGGATGCTGTGCATCTGTTAACACAAAAGCTCAACTTCTGGGGCATGCTATCCAACCCTTGTAAGTGCTCTAAATCTGTGGATTTTCAGTAGGATTTGCATTCCCAGTCTGTTTCAGGAGGAGATAGTTAATGAGATAATGCAGCAGTGGGTAAACTGTGACACGTGGAATGGGATTTTTTGAATGTTGGAGAAACTGCATGCATCAGAGGCAGCTTATGCACATCAGATTTGTAACCAAGCAATTCCCATTTATATTATGTAAGTGATGCCATTTATCAAGCCCCATGTAGCAGGCAAGAGCAGATGTTGAACCATTTGTGCTGCAGTGTTGGAAATTAACTTTTCTGGGGGTTATTAAAATTATTGGTTATTCAAATACAATCTTGTGAGTGTAATATAATGGAACAACAAACAGCATTACTCAAAAAATGTAATTGGTGTGGGTCCAGAACCTATTATGGCCACTTGTTGGTGTTGGGTGAAAATCTGTGTGGCAATATGTGATGCTCTGGTGGGGATGCGAGCTGAAAACTCTGTTTGAGAGAGGGGAAGGAGGGTGGCATTCCTTGCATTGAAAATAGGACATTTTGAGCATGCACATGATAAACAGCCAGTTCATGAGGAGGCTGCTGAGGAGGCACTGCCTGCCTGTGCAGGCACTGGGTGCACAACACTCTAACCAGCAGCAAGGGAAGGACATTATTTCTGAGAGGATTACTCCTACATGAGAATGAGACTTCTGGATAAGATTTTATTAAGGGCACAAATGAGTAATTGGATTCCTCAGCCCATTAGAATGTAACAGTAATGAATTCCTGCTATCTTTTTATATGCCCTGTGATTAGTGTGATGATTTGGTTGGGGGTTATTTTTAAAGCAGATAGTTGTGGTTGGGCGCTGTGATCCTAGAGGTCTTTTCCAACTTCAAAAATTCTATGATTCTCTATGCACTAATCCCTTTTGTGCAATCATGCAGTCAATCTTTTAGACTTTGTCCACAAATACGAAGCCCAATATGGGGTGTGAGGTGAGCTATATGGAAAGGTCAGGGTGTATTCTTTTATTTTCATGCTGGTTTACCCTCCTTTTCTTTACAAGTTGTGGGCAGTCCAGTTCCTACAGAAACTTTGTAGCCTCAGCAGCAAATTCTGGAAGACAACTTTCAGCTGGGTGAAGGCAAAATCAGTGACTGTGAGCTCCTTGTAGCAGCAGTTTTTTCCCAGTGGTTTGCCAAGTTTGTTTTCTTTTAGGGCATAATCTGTGAGATAATCCCAGCTCCTCTGGGAAAGCACTTGCTGCTGAGGAGGAGTTGGAAGTTTATCCTCACCCTTCACTTTGCACCCATGAGCATCTATCCCAGGGACAGACTGAGGAAGAGTTTAGGCCTGTGCAGTAGATCCAGCCTTTTTTGACCTTGATATGAAACGCTGTTTAAAGATCTGCGACCTTGCAGCCTCAGTCCACTATTTCCTTGCCCCATCTGAAGCATTTTCTGTATCCACCAGGGAGGAGCAGCATGTTCTCCACGTCCACAATGACCAGGACAAGAATAGGGCTAAAATTAAAC